CACACACACACACACACACACACACACACACACACACACACACACACACACACACACAGTTGACACGTTACTGTCTGTGGCCCAGTTGTTATCATCTTGCTCTGTGTTTTTATGTGACTCACAGCAAATCAAGATAAATGTTTTCTCTCTTTCTTTCTCCTCACAATGTGATCTTTCACTGTTTCTCTTTTTATTATAAATAGTAACATCATGAGGGAGCTAATTAGCGCTGTTAACTCTCCGTGGACAGTATGTGGGTGGGATAGAATATCAAGTAAAAACCATTAACCATTGTGCTACTAAAGGATGGTATGTGGCAGGACAAGCCCCTAGCTAATTGTCAGTACATTGCTCGTTCTATCTGCCTTTCTTTGATGGCCCAGTGATTGAGTGGCAACCTGTCCAGGGTATACCTCCTCACCATAAGTCGGGCTAAGTGACAACATGGCTAATTTTGTGTGTTAAAGAACCTTCGATTGCGTTCTATCAGGCAAATGCCATAAAGTGCTGTAGTTCACCAGAAAAAGCTTTTTACATATCAGGTTTAATCTAATGCTATTTTTGTTTACTTCAACTAATGAAGATTATGCTGTTGATGTTAATAAATAATGAACAGTTAATTAAACATTTTTAAGGGCTGTGATTAGTCTGCTGGACATACTCAACAAAAACTTGAACAAAAAGCAGTCACTAATTCAAATCCTACTGTAGCCTGTGGGTGCTTTTCGGTTTGCATGTCCTCAGGTAACATCTCAGGTCATCTGAGAAGTCTAATAATTTTGTTGAAAATGTATAGAAGAAATGCAAATTTGTCTGTAACTAAGGCTGTAAAAGGCTCTGTGTCATGGTTAAGACCATGACACATTTTAATGTGGGATTCTCTGTTTAGTCTCAGCCAAGATTTTGAAATGATTTCTTGTAGTTCTGGTTATTATTGGAAATATTGAATCAGGGAGTGCTAAAGAAAATGTGTGTGTGTGTATAAGTGAGAGGGTTGACAGTGAATTGATTAACAGCCTTTAGGATACAATCTGTAGACAAAATTTGTAAACCGCCTCATCACGTGTTTCCTTCATAGGTCACAGATAAACTGTAGTTCCTGCTACTTGAATCCAAGTAGCAAAAAATAAATAAAAATGAACGAACATTTTTGCGTTCTGAATTGATCAAAATCTCCAACATATAAGGTTTACGGTTTTTCATATACTCACCCAGCTGGCATAGGCTCCAGACCTCAGCAACTCTGAATCCATTAAGATTGGATTAATAGTTGGAATTTCCCAAATGTTGTTTTTTGCTTTTCTTTGGTTCAGAGAATGGGAAATTGAATAACTTTTTAAAACATCACACAATTTTCTTGGCTATTTCTGATCTTCGCTATACGAAAGTCCTATTGTTTATTATTTTTTTTAAGTTTATTTAAACTGATTTTCTTTGTAAGAACTGTCATTGCCACCATAACCAATCAATGACGTTTGTCTGTTGGAAATTCCAAAATCTGTTCAAAAAAGAATGAGTCAGAATAAATAAACTTTTGTGTTTTCTCTAAATTGGCAGCAGATTACAGGACTTTTTGTCAGTCTAAATTAAAAAAAAATAAAAATAAAGTGTGATAGGCTACTAGAAGGAATTACTTGTACAAATTAATTCCATATAAACATTATTCAAATATGCTTACCAATAGTGTTGGAACTAGTGTTCCACCTCCCACATGCTTGTTGGTGGGAGGGTTATGTTGCTGTGTTTAGTATTGGTGTGCAATACTGCAGATTTTGGTATCGATCCAATACCCCAAAAAAATACAGAGCCAGTATTGCCAATACCAATACTTTTAACTTATAAGGGCAGCATATGTAGGGGAGGGCAGTGTGTAATGATTTATAGGGTGAATCATAATCGACCACTAAATCACTACGATTTACAATTTCCACATTAATAAGTTAACACAACAAAACACAACTTTCAGCTTCTGTATTTTGAAATTGGGGTTCTTTGAGACCTGGAATGTAAATGTGCCTGTTTATAAAGCACTTTGGGTCATCTTCTGTTCCTTAAATGTGCTAATGGATTTAAATAAAATATACAGTCAACTCAAAACGTTCAGATCTTTTTTTGGTGCATGTTTAAGGTATATTTTTTCATTTCCTAAAAAATAATTTATTTAACACAATTCAGTGGGCTACATGCTGTACTTAGAGGAAAAAAGTAAAGTATCGATCCTGTCATGATGGTATGGATCCATTACCAATACCAGCGTTAGTATCATGTCTGACTTGTAGATGTTGGAGAACGGTCACTTAAACAGAAATTACAGCATCATGAATTACAGAAGATAAACTTGCATACAGATTAGTAGAGTGGTGAAAATGTGGAAGGTTTTAGATACATTCCTCTTGACTTGCATATTCAGTTTTTCCAGTAGTGTCACACTACAGTCATTCAGTGGTAGACCCTAACATGCCAAGAGAAACTGCAGTGTGCCAAGAAGTCGGGGCTTGATTGCAAGCTAGTAAACATGGATGCTGTAGGTTTTCATTTTTTTTCTTTTTGTAAGACCTTTGCAGGTGGCTTATGGCCTAGAAAATAGTGCAATTCATTGATCCCCCAGTGAGCAATGTTGAAGCATAATTTTAGTTTACAAGAAGACTTCATACAGCCTGCCAACTCATTCAAGTTTGTTTACGAAGGCACAAAATGTTTCAGTTCAGGTTGAGAGAATTGTTAATCAGAACCTGTTTGGTACAACATCAGAAGTCTGTTCTGCCTTGTATAATCTGTATCTTGGTATTTCTGAACTTGCAACAATTATATAAATGACATAATCGGAGGGTATTCATAGTTATTTTATATATTTATATATTTTATATTCATTTTCACTTCAAAGCTTGTGTTTTGTTTATTATTTCAGACTAAAGAATTTAGAGTTTCTAACTGTTAGTGATGCCGCAGTGTTTGTTTGAGTCTGGAAACTGAAGAGGTGTCTGGACTCGGAAACTGCTAATGATGTATGATGTAAGAAGCAGATGGTCACCTGCTCACCAACTTAGCCGGCACCCGAAATCACGTGCTGTTTAATGCAGCCCTAGAAGAAGGACATTACTCAGCAAAATCTATCTAGAAGAAATAGATTTTGTAAAAAGTTTTAAAATGTGAATCTGTAGAAATGTTTTTACTGTTTATAGCTATAATAGTTGTCTCTGGATCTGTAAGGGTCTATCACCCAGTCTGCATTTGGTGCCACATGACTGAGGGTTGGGTTGCCTTAGGGCTGTGCGATATAACGAAATATACTAGATGCCAAAATTAAAACATCTATCTAGGGCTGAACGATTATGGAAAAGAATCTAATTGCGATTTTTTTGCCCCAATATTGCGATTGCGATGCGATATGCGATTATTTTTTAAGGTCTTTGTCTTCTGTATTATTAAACAAAGACAAGCAATACATCATATAGTATGGCCAATACTATATTACATTAATTTTAAACTGTTCTTT